CACAAGTTCTTCTGTTCACGTATACTCGATGAGCAAAACAGCAGCCACTCTTTGGTGGAAACAAGTAAACATGATTTATCTAAACTGTTAAAAGCATGGGCTGTTTCGCATGGGATAAGTGTTTCAATTCACTTTGTTTTCTGTCTTTGGCAATGGCTCTGTACCAGATGTACTGGAGAAAAATGTAACCACGTGTAATGAGCTGGTATGGAACAGCTTTCCCACAGATGGATCTTCTCAACGTGTCCTCTTCATCAACAGTCTCCTAAAAGCAGTGTGAACTGTTAAGAGAAGGTACCCATAAACATTTAGGCATGACTGCATCACCTCCTGCCTGGTGAAGATCGTTTGTGTGCCCAGTTGAGGTATGAATATATTGAGGTATGAATATATGAGTGCCTTCTCCATTAGCACTCCCTGGAACAGTGCTCCAGTCAAACGATCCCGCTATATTGCAGCCAGTAACCGGCTGTTACCACAAACACGAGGGCAGCTGTTCTATGTAGGGTGGTGGAGACCTGCTTTAGCTCATATGGTTAAGGTTGGGAAAACTCCAGTCTGTGTTTCCTGGTTCAAATTCTGACTGAGGCTGTGAATTATATTTGAAGTGACAATATTTGGTTACTTTAATTAAAATATTTTTATGTATGAAGAGGAGCATCATTTGAACACTAAAAAAATAAATAGTAACAATAAAGAATATGGAACCCTTCAACCATTCAGTCACTCCCCAGCTGAATCAGAAAAAATTGTTATTAGTTAGCTGCTCACAAGCTTTTGTTAAGCATTTGATACCCACTGGAAATGAGCTCGAGATCAATACCTGGGTTGTAGTCAATGAGTGCCGCATAAAATACAGGCTGGAGCCCTTTTTTCAGACTTGGAGATGCCAATGATTTAAGTCACAGAGCGAACTCTTCCCCAGGTGTGTTCACTGTGCTTGTTCTAGGGCTACTCTCTGTAGGCTTGTCATCCTGTCCCAGTGCCTCTTGACAGGAGATTTATTTCTGCTTTTATTCCCTTTGGGATGGTTGGAGAAATAACTGCAACTCATTCCTGCAAACCTCTCTGATGCTTTTGTGGTCATTTTTAAATCCTGAAAGTAATATTTTTAAATATTGTTGGGTCTTGTGTTTATATCTTCTGGGTTAAAACTTTATGCTTCTAGATAAGCTTAGCCTTTCTATAAATAATGCAGTTCAAAAGAAAGCTTATGAAATGGCTGACTTGCCACATTTAATTGTTGCTTTCCGGGCAGTAGACTGGGCATGAGATCATGGGAATTTACTGTTCTGCTTGTAAAAGCTGAGCTGGTTGGAGAAGGATGCCATTGGTATTTGAATTGGTAGTTGAGCACTTGAAGAGAAACTTCCTCTTTTAAAAAACATGCGGTGGCCTCCAACTCAGTGAGCTAAGCTGTTGCCCAGCACATTCTTGAGCTCTTTGCTGCTGGAGTAGCCTGCTGCAATGAATACTGGCCCATAATTTTCTTAAAAGATACTTTCCTGTGTCTTATAAGTTGCAAAGTCTAGTGGCAGTAGGCTTTTAGCCTTGAAACAATGTGGAAGAAAAGGAGGAAACAATTGGTGAGTTCAAAGCTGGGGTTAGAGGTAAAGTCACTGCTCTGGATTTCTTCTTGAGGACTTTGGGGCATCGTCTTTGTCACTGATGTTCCTTCCCTGTTTCTCTTACAAACCTGAGATGTGTATGTTCTGGCAAGGTACCCCCTGCCAGGGGAGAAGATGCAATGAGGTAAAGACTGACGATCATAAATAAGTAAATATTTGGGATATCAGGATGAAATTAAGGTGTCCTTCTCCAAAAAGAGAAGAACGCAGAAATCTAGGAGGGGCAGGGAGAGAAGGAGCCTCAGGAAAGTGGTTTGGGAAAACCTGAGTCAGCTCGGTGCTGTTGAAGCCCATGGGAAATGGCTCTTGGACCATAGTGAAGATAATGAGGAAGGAATGCCAGAAGGATTATTAAACTTGAATAAAAAGTAGTCAAGTATGTGCTTGCTGTGGCTCCCATCCACAGACTGCTGTACAGTTGGACTCTGTACCGTTCTGCATTTTGTTTAAAATAATTGCACTACATCTTTTATTTTCAATAAGCCATGATCATGGATTCATTTTTCACAGTATGAAAATTTTACAGAAAAATTTTGGTTTGAGTGTGTTACCAATATATTTTTTCCACATCTGTCTGATACCTGAATTAGTTCACAGATTTATGTCTAGCAGCAGCATGTTTTAAGTCTTTACTTACGTTGCATGTAAAATTAAAAGCAAACAAATTTAGGATGGTAAGAGGAAGTATGAACAAGTGCATTCTTGTTTCAGGGTTACAGGAACTAGGAGTGTCCTGTGTTTCATTTGTTACTTTAACAGAATCATCTTACTCATCTTCATCAGCTTGCTCTTACTACCCTTCCCGTGTCTCTGTGAGGCGTTTCCAGAAGGGTGTTCGTGTGTGTTGAGGTGGAGCAGGACTTCTGAAGTTCTCCTTGCCTACCAAATAGAAAAACCTAATTTCTTTAGCAGACTACTCAGTTCTCTTGCCGTGAAACTGAGACATTTTGTCTGGCCGTAGTGGCAGCTGCATCTTGCTCTTCCCCTGGTTCTGGGAAGTACTTTGCAGGCAGAGGTGGAAAGGGGTAGAAGGAGTAGTGTTTTGCGGCTGGGGTTGTGCCTCTCGGGCAGACCTGGTGCTTGGCAAGTCCCCGTGTCGGTAAGTCCCTGAGCAGTGCGGCAGTGGTACCACACCTCTCTTGATTCATGGCCCACATACCACACGCTTGCTCTGTATCATGAGCCAATGTTTGGTATCCCATATATCGACATTCACGTTAATTGAGGGGTCTGCTTTAGCTGAGTGTTGAAAGAATCTCGGGTTTAATTAAAAGAATTTAGGACTAGACAGTTTAATGAGGCTTTTTTCAGAATTGATTTTCCCTGCCTGTCCCTACCCTCCTCCCAGGTGGTTCTACATGAGGGCAGGTGCCAGATCATATATATAATTCATGTATATGAATTATAATGGGCTTTTTAAAGAAAAGGTATGTTTTGGGGATTTTTAGGTATTTGCTCACTGCGTGGCTCTAGTGAACCAGCACTGCAGCATGCGGCAAGCTAACGGTGAAGGCGCTGCGTGACATGCAGCAACTGGGCACATAAGGGGAAAAAAAACACAACATGAAGGAAGGTGGTGGAAACTTGCCTTTGCATGTAACCCGAAACGCATGGTAATCAATTGCAGGTGCTCTCGACCTGTTGGTTGTAAACAGAAATCAGGAAATTGCAACTGCACTGCCCTTCCTGTGTTGCTCAATGGCAGGGGAGGGGCAGCCAGGGAGGGAGAAGCCTGGGAGCCACTGCTCCGTGTCTTCTGCTGCACGAGAAGGCAGCCGTGTCCCCTGTCCATGACTTTGCTGGTAGGTCTGGTGCAGGGCCAAAAGGGCTGTGAGGGTCACCTTTGTTTCTGCAGCTCCTCACTTCCAGTGTACACAAGCACGTGTGCACATACACTGGTGGTTAATTCCCCCCACCCGCCCCCTCGTAAAAGAAAAAGCGAGGTACTTGCCTTGGCCTAAACAGTGCGCCTGTTCTTAAAGGCTTTCTTGGGCTTTAGAGGCATGTATTTGGGGATGAATGATGGTACTGAGTATCAGGTTTAAAAAAAAAAAAAAAAATTATTTCAGGAGCTGTACCAATCTAGATTTCAAGTTGGCAATCTTGGCTTGTTACACAAGAGCCACTAAAACTCAGCTTACGAGTGGTGGTGCTTACTTCAAAGTCCAATAAGATGCGTGAGTTTACTTGGCTGGGTGGTGTAAGCTAGTGATCAGGGGCTCTGAAGAAGTGGAAGGCTGTCTTTGTTAATGAAAGCCCACTTTGATAGCTATCATGTCTGGTTTAGAAGCACAACTGGAAATGGAGGGGGAAAAAAAGGGGAATTTTTTTAATAAAGAATGACTGGATGAGCACTTCTGCCTCTTGTAAAACACAGCTGACTCCTCATTTGGTGCAGTGAAAAGAGTGAACGCCTCTGGCAGAGAAGGAAGATGGTGATGTGGGCATAAGGGCCTCTATTTAAGGCTGTAAATAGCAAATGAATTGATCTGCGCTGGTGGAAGCGAAGGTGGTTGTCAGGTGTCTCGCAGGGTGGTGGGTGCTCCGGAGAGGAGGAGTGCGGGTGGGTGCTCCTGGCAAAGGGATGAATTACAAAGCAGCAGGAAGCTTTATCAGCAAGAGTCGAAAACCGTTGGCAGCCGGCATTGTGCGCTTGTTAATGGTGGAAGCATCTGAAGAATATTGACCTGAATCTGTAATTTGTGTGCTATTCCCCATAGGGGTTCAGGCCCTTGGTCTCCCTCCTTTGAACAAGTTTTCATGTTCTGAGTAGGGAAATCAAAGGAGTTTTGTGTGGTGGTAAGGTATTGGGAAACCAGGGTACCTGGAGGTGCCCCTGTGAGGTGCCTCATCAGTTATTTCTGACTGATTATGCTATGCAGACATCTGTTTTCTGGCTACTGTTGGACAGAAAGGTAATAAATGCAGTCCTGACCTGCAGTGAATTTGGTAGAAGTTTCCTAGGTTAAATTATTTTCTTCCTCAGACTCAGATGGGGACCAGCAGGTGAGGAGGAGAGTGATTCACTTCAGAGAAGTGGGGACGTTCTCCCCCATTTAGTTTCGAGAGGACAACCAGCGAGGGCATTAGCTCTGCACAGCTGTGGCAGTAAAAATGAGTTGGTTGTTCAAAAATTGCTGTAAGAAGTGAACTAGACTCTTTGTTTGCCTTTCTCAGATCATGTCTTGTCTCACACTATGATTTCTACTTGCCTACACAAAATGCACCTTTACAGAAATGTACAATAGTTATCCTAAAATCAGAGCAAACTGTGGTCTTGCTGTTGAAATGGGAGGCTCTGTTTTGCTGGTTTATGTGTGCATTTGTGAAAGAAGTCTCTTGAAACTAAAACTTTCCATGTTGTTCTTCCAGACACAGTTGAGTCCATGCTTTCAGACTATGACATCCTTTCTCAGTCTAGCATCCAGCAACACTCCCTGAAGAAGAGGGACCTCCAGCCTGAGACACACGTAGAGAGGCTCTTAAGTTTTTCAGCCCTGCAAAGGTAATTAAATCATCAGCAACGAAATAACATAATATTTTCCTTCAGTTTGTGATGAATAATGCACAGTTCCAAACCCAGAAATAGTTATCTTGTTTTCTGTCATGACTGGCCAGTTCTTCTAAGTTAGTGATCTGCATGGTTATATGACTTCAGAGAGGCTCAGAGGAAGCAGAAAAATAAGTTTCATTGTATTACTCTGTGTGCTGAAGTGGCAGTGATTTAAGATTTCTTTTGCTTTGTTCTTAGCGTTAGTTTCATGTAGATTACTTCCACTGATTGGGCTGGATCCCACTTACACCTCATCTGGCAACATTGTCATATTTCTTGGCTGTCCTCTGATCCTTGAAAATCTCTGCCTTCAGTTTGGGGAGTGCGTGTGGTGTATTGCCCAAGAGATTTATTGTATTTTTTTTTCATGGAGGTTTAATCTTCCTACTGAGTGTAACTTTCCCATTCAATAAAACACTTCTTTTAATCTTTTTTTTTTTTATATATAAGATGGGAAATAGAAGCACAGGTGAAAGGGGAAGGAGAGGTAGAAGAGAGCAGGCATGAAGGTTGTAGGGATTTTATTCTGAGTGTCAGAAAAGTGTCTTACAGGTTTTTGAGTGCTGAAATTGTGAATCTGAAATGGGGGAGCGGGATGAGAATAATGCTTTGTATTAACAAGTGTAGGTTGATTTTGTTCATCTGACATCTTTATCTCTGTGTTCTCATGTGCCTTCCCCATCTGCCATCTACAGCTACAACTGCCATGCAAGTTGTTGTGCATATTTTTTGAATCTCTAAATGTTTGGAGGGGATAATTTTTAAGTAGCAAGTATAAAAGGTTAATGGGATCAAATGCCTGGCTGTCCCTGTTTTGCACTGCCTTGTGCACCCTGACTTTATGGTGAGGTTGCAGTACTGCCAATGATAATTACAGAATAATTGCAGAGGGGCATAGCAAAAATCCTTGACACAAAGCCCACATAAACCAAGAGCCCATGAGGCTCCTTCCAGAGAAGGTTCTCTACTTACTTCTTAGGATAGCCTTTAATTTTTGTGACAATATATCGTAAAAATGTACAGAGTTCAGATTTCTGTTTATGGTCTTCTGACTGTATTATTTCAGAAAATAAGAACTTGAAGATAATTTAATTTAGAATAGATGAACAAATTCTTTGGTCTGATTTTCTTTAAATAGTTACCAGTAACAGGTTTTGCTTGACTGCAAATGGAGAAGGTGCATCATGAGCACACCATGACTGTTTTGGATTTTGGGGGTTCTTTTTTCTTTTTTTAATTAAATGTCTTTGACTCTTTAAAAATATTTACAGTTATGAATTACACAGCATATGTTTTGTAGCCTGCTTATCAGAATTAATGCTTTCTAACTTCTTTCGGACCCTCACTAAAATGGAGATTGGATGTATCTGTTATATGTATACTTTGCTTAAAAATAAATGGAAGTAAATTCTTTTACAGGCACTTTAAATTATACTTAACTGCAACTGCTGAACACTTTTCAGAAAAATTTCAAGCATTAGTTGTGAATGGTGAAGGCAAGGAAAAGGAGTATCGTGTTCAATGGCAAGACTTTTTCACCGGACATGTCGTTGGTTAGTACGGACTAGACTGCGTGTCAGTGCTGAGAAAGCACAGCTTTGCGCAAGTCTCTTGGCCAGAGTTAATGGTGTATTGCCCTCATTTTCATCAGATATGGTTAGGATGAACAAGTAAACTTAATTCTTGTGCCCCTCAGGTTTTCTGGTTTTGTTTTTGTGGTGGGTTTAGGGGGGATTTTTAGGTTTGGTGGGTGGTGGGTTTTTTTTGAGCTATTGCACCAAGGTTCTAAGATAGGACACTTCTGTTTAGTTTGGCAGAACACAAAAGTATAATTTACTCAAGCAGCAGCTTGTGTTTTTTTTGTTTTTTTTTTTTTTATTGGAGAACGATGATGGTGGCTTTAATTCCAAGTGGAATGTTCTTTGTCCCAGAACACAAAGCCCAGCTACTTAGTGGTGATGCAGCATTGCCCAGATTGTTACATTAAAAGACTTTAAGATGGTTCTTTGCAGATTACTTTTCTGTAAAGAAAGGGTATCTTGCTCCACTTTAGTCCAACACTAATGCTTCCGCTAAGTTGTTTTGATTTTTACTTTGCCTTTGTGATGTGGTAAAAGTCTTTTCCACTGGAATGCAGGCTGACGCCATGAAACTGCTGTCTGATAGTAGTAAGATGCAAGCTGCTTTTGTTGGCAGAAATGTTCTGTGTCCCATTACTAATCCCCAGAGCCATCTCAACACCTTCTGCAAAATTATCAATTAAATCTGAATCTTGATGACTATGACTATTGAGAAGTTAAGGTTGGGGGGAGTGCTGGTTCATTTCTTTTTTTCTTTAAACTGAACAGTATAGTGTTCTTCAGGGACTGAGGAAGGTAATTTGGCTTGAAGTTTAAAAACAGTTTAAAAAAAACCCAACAGTGTCTGTGCAGGAGTACATGCAAATAGACCTGAATTAATTTCATTTTTCCTTGCTTATGTTAAAGGAGAGCATAATTCCAAGGTTGTTGCACATATTGGGAATGAAGACTTTACAGTAAGAATCAATACTGACGGAGAAGAATACAATATAGAGGTACGCTTTACTGTTGAAAGCAATATTCAAACAATCATCTCTTTTCCCTGTGGGTGTTTCTCTTTCTAGTTAGTCACGTTGACACCTTTGTAGCTCAAAATAGACTTGGTGGTGGTGTTTGTTTTGGTGTGAGTAGGGAGGAGGGAGAGAAATGTGAAACCAATTTGACTTTAGCAAGTGTTGAGTTTTATTAGTGAGTGACATTCTCTGACATTTGCATGTTTTAGATACATCAGGGAGAAGGTATGTTTTAAACAGGAAAGGGTTTTAGAAACAGAAATGATACAACGTTAGTAATTAGTGGTGATTATGTCCTCTAGAATAACAAACTGGGCAGCCTTCTGATCAGAGTTGAGGTCTGTTGAGCTTTCTAAAATTTTGGCTTTGTTTCTTCTTGGAATTTTTCCCATTCTTAGAGCTTTATTTGAAAATCTGGTATTTTTCCCAGCTCCCTTTTTTCTGTTTTTCCACCATTTTCATTGCTTGTGTTATTTTAAACTATTGGTTTAAAAAAAATATTCAACAAATATGTAATTAGAGACTATCCTAATGAGTTGTTCAGTGCAGTATATTCCCAGACACAAGCTGTATTAGAATAGCTGAATAACAGTAATTATGGCTGAGTGTTATATGGATATTGTAATTGTCTTCAAACCCAAGGATATGCAGAATTATGGGTAAACCTGGGAAATCCTGTCATGTTAAAGTATGAAAATGTGTTTGGAATATCCAAACTGCTGTGCTTGTGTTTTGCATTGAGAGCATATAGTAGCCATTTGATTGTGCTTTAAAGCATTTTTGTGTTTGTGGTCCAGAGTAATGTAAGCATGTCTCAGTTCCCCACGCAGCCAACCCCCTTGCTCCTCACTGGCTGTGTCTGTACAGCTAAATAAAGGCAGGTAATGGCTTGGAGGCTCTGGTTTGCCCACACTGCCTAGCTGTTAGCATCCCAGGGTCAGCTTCGGCCCCTAACCAGCATTGGATGAGATGATGCTTGTGTGCAGAGATGGTGTGTGCCAGAGACCATTCCCAAAAGGCAGCACAGACAAAGCCACTCCGCCGTTGCCTTCCTTTGCTTTCATGGTCCTCCTGCACTGTTTGGAAAGGTTGCAGACCTTCATATAAACCCCTGGTGCCCTCGTGCCTTGCCCTAGGACATGTGTCCTCAGTTTCGCACTGTAGACGCATGGCTGCAGGGCCACCACAGCCTTTGCATTTCAGGACTTTTTTGCTGTGAACCGAAAGTGCAGTATGATAAATAGTTGAAGTTTAAAGACCACTGCCTAAGGGCCAGAGGAGAACCAGAACCAAGTGCTCTGCAGTGTGGACATGGGCGGTCTGTACTACTCGGCCTTGCCCAAAGAACACACCCTGGCCATGTTGTATTTGGTGGTGTTGCTGTAGCTGTTATGTACAGCTAATAGGGATATGTTGGTTAAAAAAAAAAAAAAAAAAGGTGGTCAGTACGCATCTGCTATGGGAATTAGGAAAACCGTGGGAAGGGACTTCATGGTTTTCTTGTTTTCTTTGCTTTTGGAGAAATTTTCATGCTTATAAGTGACTTGGGTAACTATTGAACATTGAAGAGCCTGCCTTCTGCTGTGATGACTGCATTCTGCTGTGCACTTAGATACTCTCTGTTATCTGCCAGCTCCTGTGCTTCTGGTCAGTGCGTTTGTTAGCATAGTCTAAGCATCTCCTCCCTGGCTGTGGCAGTCTTCACATTGTTATGGAGGGAGCCTGAGATGCCTCCTCAGCTTGCTCGTATTCTGGAGGGGAAGAAAAATGCTGTCTCTTCTACAGCCTTATCAGGTAGCTGCCGCTCTTCTGTTGAGATGATCTTAGATTTTTGGATGCGTGTGTAGCATACAAGAGTTGAATTCTGTTGGCTTTCTTGGGGACGTCGTTTTATCAGTAGACTTACTGCTGTGGGTGAAATTATTGTTGTCCAATGTATTTGTGTGTTTGTACACATAAAGCTGTGGAGATTTGATGGTACATAAATATAATTTTTTACTTATATAGACTTAGTCTTTGCATTCATTGCGTTCCTAACTAATTGCATTTCTGTTCTTCTTGTGCCGTCAGCCACTGTGGAGATTTGTAGATAATGTGCAAGATGAAAGACTGCTGGTCTACAGATCTGAAGATATTAAAGATTTCTCACGATTGCAGTCCCCCAAAGTGTGTGGTTATTTAAAGCTGAACGAAGAAGAACTGTTGCCAAAAGGACTGGAAGACAGGAACCAAAATGAAGGTAAGTGTCTGTACCTTGGGAGAGCAGCGTCTTTGAAACGAATGCTTGAATTCCAGCTGTGTAGGCAAGTAAGATCAGAACCTGGGCAATAATCTGTGTTGCTACTTCTAGTTTAACTATTAAAGCAGCTTCATGCCTGCTCCCCATCCAGAAAAGCCCCAACAACTGATGAAGGGAAGAAACTGTCACAAGGGGAATGTTTCTTCCTGGCTTGTTGAAAGGATGTTTGGCCCTACCAAAGTGTAGGCTAAGGAGAGGAAGCTATTTCATCAGGCCTAAGTAGTGTTTGTTGTGATCACCTACACTGCTGCCGGCTAATCTTAAAACAACTTTATATTTCTGTGCACTGTGTAACACGACCTGTTTGGCCTCAGTGGTCATTCTAAGAATCCATCTTGAGCCATGATGGGTTTTTGAGAGTTTTGGGTCCCTCTTTCTTCTGTCCTCAGCTGTGGCAGCAGAGATGGGGATAATGACTAGGAACAGGAGGAGGAGAGATATTAAGGCTGAGATGATGACCATAAAAACTCTGTAGGTAAATCTGAAATTGAATAGCTCAATTTCACTACTATATGTTCCTTTCCTTACAACAAATTTTAAGGACTGTTATGAAGATAAAATTTAAGAATAATTATTTAAAAAACACAAAACCCCCAAAAACCCAACCAAACCCACAAAAACCAAACCCAAACATCCCCCACTCCGCCCAAAAACTCACCCAAACTCACGTTCATGTCTTAAATAAGGGTAATAGACACAGCAGTGGCAGTTTTATTGAGTGTTTATTTAATTGTATTTAAAATGTTCACATTAGCAAGCATCCATCGGAAGAAAAGAGCTGTTCCAGAGAACTCCAAAAACACATGCAAGATGTTGGTAGTGGCAGATCACCGTTTTTTCAAGTACATGGGCCGTGGGGAAGAGAGTACTACTATAAACTATTTGGTAAGTAAATATACTCTGTTACAATTTGCTGGAGTAAATGGAGGAAAGAAATAGTGATTCAGTGGTTAAAACAACATACGGCTTATACTACTTTTCTACAACATATATATTTACATCATGACTCTGTGTGCTTTTTACCTGAAAAAGTGCTAAATCATGCTTTAAAAATATTTTCTAATGGTGATACTGTAGTTAAATAGTCTTGAAGTTTCATTTATAAACAAATCCCTTCCCTTCATGTACTTCTTGTGGCTATGCTATTTTCTGCCTAAGAAATGTTCTTTTTCCAGTCAGAGCTTTAGAATCTCCTGGATTTTGAATTCCACTGCAAATGATCCAAGCATCTTTAAAGTTCAAGCATGCTTAAAGCTCATATGAGAGGCAAAGCGACTTGTATAGGTTTTTCTTCAAATTCTTCCAGGATTCTCTGTCCAGAACAATAAAATTGAAGCAGGCGTGGTAAACAGTTTGTTTGGTTGTACATGGTTGTACAACCCCGGCAAGCAGCTCAGCCCCACACAGCCGCTCGCTCACTCCTCCCCAGTGGGATGGGGGAGAGAATCAGAAGGGTAAAGGTGAGATAACTTGTGGGTTGAGATAAAAACAGTTTAATAGGTAAAGCAAAAGCTGTGCGCACAAGCAAAGCAAAATAAGGAATTAATTCACTGCTTCCCATCAGCAGGCAGGTGTTCAGCCGTCTCCAGGAAAGCAGGGCTCCATCGTGCGTACTGCTTACCAAGTAACCCAGCCAAAACTAGTACAATGGGGTTCTCTACCTGACAAGTTTTTGTGAAATAGAACGCCTGCCCACAACCTTTCAGCAGAAGTGGAGAGTGTGGGTTTGGGGACTCAAGACAAAAACAAATGAAACCACTTTTGGAGGCCTGTTGTTTGTCAAGAGTCTCTTTCTGAGCCTGAATCTTTGAAATGCTAATCACTCTGTTCCATCTTTGCTGGCTTTTTGACCTTTCTGTCCCCAGAAATGTTTACATTCCCCAGGTAACGGAGCCTCAATTCGTGTATTTGCAGACGTGCTATTATCTCAGCATCTGACACATGACTCTTCCAGGCTAAACTACTGTTGTGTTTCCTGGGTGGATGTGTACTGTAAACAACACAATGATTGGAAAACTAAAGCATAAAATATCATGGAGTAGCTCTGAATGTCACTTTTCATTCTGAGCAAGTTTGATCGTTTATATTTAGTAGAAGGTGTTTTTTAAGAAGATGAGAACAGCATGAAAAGGGTGGTATTGATAGTGAGCATTGACGAGAGACTTTCTGGAACCTTGTCTTTGAACCATAATGAAGAAAATAGGGTTTTGGCTGGAAGAGGGAAGCAGGCCTCAGGGATCGGTTAAACTGGTAAAGCGTCATGCTAAAACCAAGTAGTAAAAACAACTCTCTCCTCTGCCCTTGCCTCAAATAAACCTGGAAAACTCGTATATGAACAAGTTGTTTCCCAAGATGTCTTGTTCTTAATATTATCGCTCTTCTGCTACACAAATGAAAGTGATAAATGGGAAGGTTTCTACTGCTTTTTTATGATGGAAAACTTTCAGGGATATTTGATAATACTCTGGATCTGAGTGCTGTTGGTTTTGGATCAGTGAATATGTTATGTTATGAGGTTCAATTTTAATTTGAAGTGAGTGTTTCTAGTTAAGTATGTTGCAGCTTCTCTGAGTGTCTTGAACTTTATTGCATGAGAGCTCAGAACTAAATAACTTGTTCTTTTCTACATAGATTGAATTGATAGACAGAGTAGATGACATCTACCGAAATACTTCCTGGGACAATGGAGCCTTCAATGGGTACGGCATACAGATAGAGCAGGTATTCACTGAAATATGCAAAGGGTTTCTAATTTAAAGGATAAGAACATGTTTTGGATATCAAGATTTCTGATTATTTTATCTGGGTTAGAGCTAAAATAATCCAATCCTACGTTATTAACTCCAGCCAGGAGCACACTGAAATAGTATCTTGCCAGAGGTGGTGGTAATGATTTGACACAGCATGCCCGTTTTCAGTTCCTTGCAGCTTTTGAGATGGGAGTTTTCAGGGAGAATCTTTCTATATTTAACCTCAATTCAAAGGTGCTTTTTTCCAGAATATGAGCAATTCTTGTTTCTATCAGACATACTCTTCTGCATGTATTTAATGTTTGTGTCTATGGCTAGTGCTTAGCTTAAAAAGCCTGAGTGGTCCCCAAACACAGATGGAAAAAAACCACGAATCCTGCCTGAAGAGCTTTAATAACTCCCCTCAGATATCATGATAGTGTAGAGGCTGGTATAGGGTAGACACACAGGATGTAGTGACTACAATTTATGTGATGGCTCCTGAAAGTTAGGGCACAGAAATCTGGAAAAGGGCATTAAAAAGAAGAGGAATCCTTCGGCTTGGAATACTGCAAGAGCTGTGATACGAAATACAGGGACTCATGGTACAAGCTAGCTGCCCCTTTGCTGGGGAAGGGTCTGCAGGAACAAGGAAGGAGAGTTAATTGGGCAGGGAGGGGCAAAGAACATGATGCACTAATTCTAGGTTACTGGGAAAGTAGCAATCCTTTAAAATATGTTTTGGTTGGCTAGAACTCTGAAATCATTTGGGGTTATTAATACTAGATGTAAATCCTGGTTGTATTTGGGTGGTCTTTTTTTGATAGAGTAACATGCATCTCAAAGCAGAATGTTACAGTGAAAACTGTTGATGTTGCTCTGTAAAATGGCTCGTGTAGTTGCTTATGATGTAGTCAGTGTATCTTAACTAGCAGAGGCTGAAAAGTTAACATTAGAAGCATGCTGAGTCTGAATTTTTCTTCTTGCAGATCTGTTGAGACATTTAAGATTACATTGAAAGCTTTTCTGTAGCTGTAAAATTGATCAAAATTCCTCTACATTGTTGTTGCCCTTTTTGAAATGTAGATTATCATCCACAATGAGCCAAATCTTGTAAAACCTGGAGAAAAGCATTACAATATGGCAAAAAGTTACCCAGATGATAAGAAAGATGCCTGGGATGTGAAAATGCTCCTAGAGGTAGGTTGTAACCCTTGAAAAATTGTGCCCCTTACAGAAAATTACTGATTCATGCAGCTGCTCTGTAGTGACAGATGAAACTCCTCTACTTCCTTCGCATGATGTGTAGATGTTACAGAATCATAGAATCACAGAATCATT